GCACACTCACTTATCCACTAAACAGTTATTTCAATGTTGACAGATTTTATTAGTTTTTTTTTTTTTTAAAACACCTAATCTAGGCAAAAATAATGGGGGTTTAGTTACAGTATATGATCATACATTGCATAAGCCTGACACAACTTCATCTTTGGCAGGTCCTACTCTAACAGCCTTATGTCTGCTCTTATGAGATTAACACACTTACTTGGGGGGAAATTCCATCTAGGGCTCTTTGCAGTACAAGGCTAAATAGGGCCCTGGGATGAGGCACCTGTGACAGGGAAGGGTGCAAAACCAAGTTGGCTAGACTCTCAAATATATATATTTCCTGGCTAATCATGGCAGCATATACATCATGGGTTAGCTCCGCCCCTTACAGTCGATAGGACAGGAAAAACACCAAAGGGTTTAAAAGGAGGCTCCATTCCTAAGGTCCTCTGTCTTTTTCCTGTGCTACAGCCTTTAGGATGTGAGCAATTTGGTCCCTTTACTTATGTTTTTTCTCTTCATTACTTTATTTGTTTTTGCTATATTAGGTTGCCTTTATAGGGTGTTAAGGGGCCATGTATGCTGCAGACTGAGCTCTCTCCCCGGTCTCTCAACGGCAAATGCACTCGGAAGAGGCCCACGCATGTGCAGTTTGTGCCTTAAAGGGCCCAAAATGGGGTGCTGCTGGGGGCCAGTTTATACAATACACAAGATCCAGCGCACTCACTTGTCACTAAACAGCAACTTCAATATTGACAGATTTTATGAGTTTTTGTTGTTGTTTTCTTAAACACCTAATCTAGGCAAAAATAATGGAGGATATATATATATATAGAGAGAGAGAGAATGATTATGCCACTGAGGTGGTTATGGTGTCCATCTGATAATTGCAGATACAAGAAAATTCACAGCTTCTTGATAATCTCTCTAATGGGGACTAGAAAGTGTATTGCATCCTCTGGGGGGAAAAAACAATATCAAAATATTTATTTTGCTACTGTTGATCTAAAAGAATGTTTAAAAACAAAAAAATATATTTTCTCAATCTCCAATTTTACCATAAAATAAAAATAGGGACAAATGTGTTCCATGATAATTCTCCCCAGGTTAGCAAAATATTATTAGACAAGTTATTATAACGATGCAGAAATCATCTCTTAATTATATATTTTTTTAACTTGTAGGCCTAATGATTTCATTATCAAATGACTTCCTGCTTTTAATTACAGACATGGACTTGTCAGGTCTCTAGTTCAATATTTAGCTCCACCTAGTGTTTAAAATGCATTAATGCACACAAAAAAGTAACTAACTTGGAATATCAAAAGTCAGACATCTTCCAAGTGTAACCCCTTAATGTTTTACTTCAAGCATCATAACCACTACAGCCTACTGTAGTGGTTACAGTGCCTGGAGTCCCCTGCCATGGTTCCCTGGTAATGAGGCAAACCATTTTGTAACAGTTTGTCATCTTGGGTTCTCACCAAGCTCTGATGCTCTGTCTGTGTATGGTAAAGTGCTTCTGTAGAGCTATAGAATTCAAGGATTTTAAAGTTATTATGACGGAAAGTCATGATTTTATTAAAGACACAGAGGCGAGTATTATGCTGCACTCTTTCTTTAAATTCCCTCAGCAGCAAAGAAACATTATTTGAAAAAGATAACATTTAAACAGGTATAAACATCACAATGATAATGTCCGCCTAGCAACATGAACCTCCAATCAGTGACATCCTTCTCCGATTGTGGGCGGAGCATCGATGACCATTTCTTCTTTCTTGCGAATCCCGAAGAATAATTCAACTCCGAACAAGAAACGGATAAACAAATGAACCGGAACCATGCCTGTGCTTCAGGGACTTCTTTCAACCAAGTCACGCTGAAAGAAACAAGAAAATATGGTAATGTCCAAAAATGAGTCTTGTCCGCATATATAGAGGCTTGAACGTCTGATTAAACATTGATAATTCATAAATGTAGTATGAGGAAACTACCAGCCTAAAGATAGCAGTGACAAACAAAGTCCATCATTAAATAATGCCCTAGAGTAATGTAGGTATGGCATCAGAAGCGTCAAACTGAACTTACCATGAGGATGTCTGTAACTTACCTTAACTCACATCCAAGCCGTCCAAGGGCAGGTGGGTGGGATAATACTCGCCTCCATTTCTTTAATAAAATCATGACAATTGTAAAATCCCTGAATTTTATCGAAGACTCCTTAAATGCTATTTTAAAGCTGTGATATCACAGCTTCTGCGAAATGCTGGATTGGTTTGAAATAGAAGTTACGGAAAGTAGTTTCCGTGGACAAATCAGCTGCTTTCAATATATCCTCTAAGCGACAACCAACAATGGAAGCTTTGGAGGCCATGGCACCGCGAACTGAATGCAGAGAAAATATAGAGGTAGTAATGCCTGCTAAGGACATGACCCACTTGACCCAGCGGGTCAAGGTAGGAGTGGAAGATGGAGCATGCGGTTTGCGGAAGGAGATGAAGAGTTGGGGTTCTGAACCAGTCCGGAGGGGAGTGCTACGAGCTTCGTACACTTTGAGACACGCTACTGGGCAAAGGAGCGGTTTTGTGGGGAAAACCAGATATCGGACCGACTCCGACTCCGTCCGGGGAGAAGGAGCGGGCGTTGACATCGAGTGCTCTAATGTCTGATACTCTTTTACATGAAATTAGGCACAACAACATGACCAGTTTAACCGAGAGTTGCTTCAGGGATAAAGCCTCGTTGTCTGGCCACATAGTCAGGAAATTCAATACCGGGGAGACGTCCCATAGGGATGAATAACGAGGTAAAGGTGGCCTTGCAAAGTGATTGCCGCGGAGGAGGCGACAGACAATGGGTCCCACCGGGGTACCGTCAATGCCGGTGTGGCCGGCTGAAATTGCTGAGCGGTAGAGGTTTACCGTCCGAGAAGCTTTCCCATTCTCATAGAGGGAGGTTAAGAATTGGAGGATAGTTGTCACAGGAGTTGATAGGGGATCCGCACCCCTTGCCACGCACCAATCATCCCATGTGCACCAAGCAGACTTGTAAGACTGTCTCGTGCTGGGTGCCCATGCGCCCTCGAGAAGTCAGAGAGTCGATTACGAAAGTCCCTCGATTGCCCAGGGTCCCCATAAAATTAGCCATGCCGTGAGGTGGAGGAGGCCCTGGAGGATCAGGGGGTGGGCGGTCCCGTTGGGATCCCGTAGGAGGGAGTGTGAGTCCCGGAGGAATCTTGGGCGATCTATAGCCATCTCTAGTAACGGAGGGAACCAGGGTTGTGACAGCCAGAGGGGGTTATTATCACTAGGCAGCCCAAGTGGCGCCGCAGCTGAAGCAGGCAACGCGGGATAAGGGCGAATGGAGAGAATGCATAGTTCCTGGTGGTGGAACAGTCTTGGGAGAATGCGTTCACAGCCAAAGCTGTCGGGTCTGGCCTCCAGCTGAAAAAGTTCAGAAGTTGGGTAGGCAAACAAGTCTATTGCTAGAGGACCCCATAGGTCCCAGATGTATTGGAAGGTATGGGGATCGAGGTGCCAGTCGCTGGAACAGGAATACCAATCCGCTGTAGTGTTGGACAATCCTGGTAGATATTCTGCTCTGACAACAATATTGTGTTGAAGGCAAAATTGCCAGAAGTCCCAAGCTAGATTCGCTAGGACTTTGGACCTTGTGCCTCCCAGATGGTTTATATAACGGACCGCCGAGATGTTATCCATTTTCAACCAAATTTAGATAGGGTCAGGGATAGGCTGCGAATAGCGAAGGATCCCGCCAGGAGTTCTAAGCAATTTATATGCAAGGTGGATTCCAAGTCCGACCATCGTTCGCCTGTGGAGACATCTCCGCAACTAGCTCCCCATCCGTAAGAACTGATGGTTGGAGCAGGTCTCGTAGGCAATGAATGCCCTCTATTTTGAAATGGTAATTTACGTAGGAATTTAGATGTTTGAGGTTGATGACTGGGCGGGTTCCGCCACCCTTTTTGGGGACAATAAATAGGCTGCTCATAAAACCTGGGGTATGCATTGGTATTTCTAGGATAGACCCTTTGAGTGCTAACTTTTGTATTTCCTCTGAGACAAGGATAGTATCTGATCAGGAAAAAACAAATCTCCCTGGGTGGGGATTATTGGATAGGTAGGGATTCAAAGTCTATGAGGTATCCGTGGATAGTGATGTCGCGAACCCGAAATTTTCGGTTCGCGAACGGCGAACGCGAACTTCCGCAAATGTTCGCGAACCGGCGAACCGCCCGAAACGCCATTGACTTCAATGGGGAGGCGAATTTTAAAACACACAGGGACTCTTTCTGGCCACAGTAGGGATGGAAAAGTTGTTTCAAGGGGACTAACACCTGGACTGTGGCATGCCGGAGGGGGATC